AATGAAGAAAAATTTCCTGAGTATGTAAACTTGCCAATAGGCCAAACAACCCTTGAAAAAGAATTGTTTTTTTTTTTTTTTTTTTTTACATGACTGTAAAATAGGATTACACAGCTTCTGTTCAAGTTCTATAAATATCACAACTGCTTGATGTGAACTATGCACGATGGAGTAGAAAACATTTCCTTGTGCTTCACAAAAAATATGGGAAATAGACATTTTTTTTGTAATTTACTGCAGTTCTGTCTTTACTTATCTGTGTTTCTAATCCTCTAGCAGTCCAGTGCCTTAGTTAAATTAATATGATCTGTCTAATCTAATTAAAGTTTGCCTGTATTTTGGCAGGATGAGGTCGAGACTAAAGTGGACCTGCCCATTCTTCTAAAGCTTCAGAAAAGGGTGAAGGAGCTGGAGGGAGAAAATCGATCTTTATGGAAAAAGCTGGGCAAAAAAGAGGAGGCCCAACAAGAAAAGGCAAAAGTATGAAATGCCTCTATAAACATTTATCTAAAGTTCAGCTGTTTGGTGTTTGAATCTTACATGATATTTTTCTGTTAAACAAACAAGGAAGTGGAGATACAGACAACTTTTGGCAGGACAGAACTGGACGTAGAAAAATTGAAGGTGCGACTTTCCTTATTACTGAATCTGAAATATGCATAAAACCAAAAAATGGTTCTAGATTTTTGATCTTCAGCCTGTTTTCTAATGTAGCGGCAAGAGCTGGAGTCGGAGAACAAGAAACTGAAGCAGAATCTGAATGAACTGCGGAAGTCTCTGACCAGTGAGAATAGCGATTTGGCGCCCCCTGCTGCTGGCTCTCTGCCTTACAACATTCTGCTGGAACAACTCAGTTCTTCCAACGAGGAGCTGGAGCTGCGGAAAGAGGAGGTGCTGCTCCTCCGTTCACATATGGTTCGTCAGGAAGCTCTTAAACACAGGGTGAGAAGTTACATGGACTGCATGTGTTCTTCATAATCATATTAAAATGTAATTAATAAAGGAACTTTTTGTCTAAATAATAATTTAATTCCAGGACTCTGTACTTGGAGAAAGTGTGAAACTGGATCTCGGTGAAATCCACTCATTACAAGATTTACAAGATTCTGACAGGTAAGAACCACTTGGCTCTGTTTTTATGCTGCATCCTGCCAAAAAATTTCTCAAATAATTTCTAATCAATAAAGCAAAAATGCACCTGAAGGAAATCCACGAACTGTGCAAGTTCTGTCTTCTAAGATGTGTGAACCATAACTGAGCAGAATAATTTGTATACCATATAAATGTTATTCTTACGTAAAAATAATACAGCCCAAATTATTGAGACTTTCAAGATGTATGTTTTTAATTGAGTTGTATTGACGAATTTAAAGCTAGAAATCATTCTTAGGATTTCTAGCTTTAAATTAAAACATGACAAGAGGCAGAAACTGACTGAACTTCATCTGAGGTTAGGAATTTTATTTAGAAAGAATTTTATTTAGAAACATGTGAATAAAGAGGAGCACCCCCCACACCCATGAAAATGTAAAACAATTCAGTAACTTTTAGTGTGTTTCTGCTTCAGCTGCTAACAGATTTTAAGTATGATCAAACTGAGAAAACAAAGCAAAGAAAAACAAAGTTGACAATATGTAATCTTGATGTTTTGTTTTCCTTAATGTATTTTATTCATAAGATGTTTAGTGTAAATAACTGCTTGTAAAATTATGTTATTTTTTTGTCTACAACAGTAAAATAATTGAGGATTCTTCCCATTTATCTCTCTTCCCAGTAAATCAGCTGTTAAGACTACCTTTGTCTTTTCTCGTTTCTTATATGGGAACTCAACTCTTTCTAATTGGAGATGTTAATGCCTGCAGTCACTTTCTGATGCTTCTCCTTCAGATCCACTAATATTCATACCCTGAATGAAGATGGGGAGCTGTGGCTTGCTTATGAAGGCTTGAAAGAGACAAATAGGTAATGATGCAATATACTGTACATCTATTAGGCTTTATACTAACATGGCTGAAAAACATAACACGATATAAGTGTTTCCTATCAGTTGATATAGATAGTTATTGATTGTTTTTTTTTTTTTTGTCTTAAATATCTGAAATACCGCAAAACTGGTGCTGTGACCTTTTGTGTTTTATCCAGTTTTCAGACTACACTGTTGTTTTTAGTTTTTAATCAGCTTTGAGACACAGAGGCAAAACTTTAAACTACTGCTGTGCAAGTTACTCAACAGGTTGTTGCTAGGTAACCAAAGAGTGACTGAGTTGCTAGGTAACCAAAGAGTGACTGAATTGCTAGGTAACCAAAGAATGAGTGAGTCAGTTGATTCCACCAATCTTGCTTAGCTGGGCTAAGCAGCTAAAGCCTTTCCTCTGCCTACATCTCCCAGAATGCTGTGCAGTTCTGTGAAATTATTGGATATTCTATCATACACATTATCTGTTGATACTGATTAAATGTCTATTATGATATATCTTATTGATTTATTGTCCATTGCTAGTTTATAGCCATCGTAAAAAGAAAATTCTAGGATTTCGTACATATTTTATTCATATCTGAGTTTAATGGTTGGTTTTTCGCACATTTTAATTTTGGTTTTATCTTTGTGGACATAGAATGTCGCAGCGCTGTGTGTGTGTTGTTTGTTGTTTATTTGCATGATAAAACACTAGAACAAACTGAGTGAGTGTGCTCTTTGTTTTCTACCCTGGATCTGATCACGATCCAAACATCCTGCAGGCTTCTGGAGACCCAGATGCAGGAGCAGGAGTGTCTTCACAGTGAGAAGTACAGGAAGCTGACTGAGGAGATGAACAAACTGAGGTCTGAAAAGGAGCATCAACAAAAGCTGCTGGCTACGAGCCTCCTTTTACCCGAAGATGCCCGAATAGATGCAAGCCTGAAGCACGAGATAACGCGGCTCACCACTGAGAATCTGGTGGGTTTGTTTTCTGGATTTGTGATCGCTCTTTCTTCCTTTCTAATTACCTCAAACCAAGTTCTGATGTGTCCGTCATTGCTGTTTCTTCTCAATGGAAGTAAGACGTCGATAAAAATTCAGATTTCATCATTAATTTATTTTTTCTTTAATTTCAGGAACGAATGGAGCAACAACAGAAACAAGATAAAACAATACGCAAATTGAAAAAACAACTTAAGCTGTATATGAAAAAAGTGGAAGATTTAGAAGGTAATCCAGTCGTACTACATTTGAAAATATGAACCCATATTTTACAAAAATTCACAATCTGGATAAAAAGTCAAGCAAAATTTATCAAATTAATTATGTCACTTATCCTGTGTAGTGTATTATGTCTGTATTATAACTTATTATTATTATTGCTTATAACTTATTATTATTATTGCTGTTATCATTGCTATTATTATTAATTTTAGTTTTTATTATTAGTAGCATTATTTTTAGCATCAGTAATGAATAATAAAAAAGGAATTTGACTTTTTTTCTCAGATTAAAGTCAGAGTTTGATTTGTTGACATGACAGTTAAAAAATTACAACCTGGCAGTGATCTGATTGGTTCTCATATTATTTTTAGCGAACGCTCGTCAGACGATCAGCTCTTCTGATACGAGCATGCCGGTCCGACCGGTGCACATCGCACGCAAGGAGAAGGAGTTCCAGGGCATGTTGGAGTTCAAGGAGGACGACACGGGTCATTTGCTCAAGAACCTGGTCGTAGGTGCGCGTTGTTCCAACAACCCGTCTGTTTCATGTGATAACAGTAGGTCAGGATGTTTCTGGTTTTCAGTGACTGTGGTGATTTTCACAGATCTGAAGCCTCGCGGCGTCGCAGTCAGCTTCACTCCAGGGCTTCCTGCCTTCATCATCTTCATGTGCCTTCGATATGCAGACAGCGTGAACGACGACAGGAGACTCAGCACTCTCCTCAATTCTACAATCAGCAGCATCAAAGGCGTCATCAAGGTGCCGCGTTTAACCTCGATCAGTTGAAAAACAAATGCCAGGGTTTATTTTTAGATTAATTTGGACTGATTTCCAACAAAATTTTGAGAAACTGATCTATGTGTTTATCTTTAGACGCATTGATTACTGCAATGCTAAAACCAGGAAGGTAAAGCACATCACCACAGGCTCCCAGTAGAACCAGACCCAATGCTCCTCCAATCTGGAACAAACTTCCAGAAAACTGCAAAACAGCCGAAACACAGAGTTCCTTTAAATCAAGGCTTCTCCTTCCCCCTGTTTAGAGTTGAATTTGGTTTCCCTGCAAAAACACAAAATCTCACCAAGTGTTTTTGTTTAATTTCAAATGCAAATATCTTATTACAGTTGAAATAAGGCAAAAATAACTTGCAAGTAAGTTTTCACAAGACAGAAAGCTTGTTTTAAGTCAATAATTCCTTAATATTGTTAAAATTGTATCAATATTTCACTTGGAACAAGACATTTTCTCCACAAGTGAAAAAAATATGCTAGTGGAACTTTTTTTTTTAATCAAAATTGAAGATTTATTGACTTAAAACCAGCTCCTATACCTTGGTGAAAAGTTACTTATAAGATAGTTTTATCTTATTTCTAGTGTCTGAAGATATTTACACTCAAAGTAGAACAAAAGTACTTGGTAAGATTTTGTACTTTTGCAGTGTAGTAGTAACTTGATGTGTATTTGCTTGATAATTTTGATGATTTAATTTGACAAACTGTTTTTGTTTTTCTTATTTAATAATTGGTGATGTACGACGTTTTTATGATGTAAAGCATTTTTAATTGCCTTGTTGCTGAAATGTGTTTTATAAAAAAGCTTGACTTGATTTTGTCCGTGCAGAGAAAAGGAAATGATTTTGAGGTGGTGTCGTTCTGGCTGGCCAACACGTGCCGGTTAATGCACTGTCTGAAGCAGTACAGTGGAGATGAGGTGAGCATCAAGATTTACCTGCGTCTTAAATAAAGCTGCATAATCATGTAATTAATCTTCCCTGCAGGTGTTTATGGTGCACAACACTGCTAAGCAGAACGAGCAATGCCTGGCTAACTTTGAGCTGACAGAGTACCATCAGCTTTTTGGTGACCTGGCCATTCAAATCTACCGTCAGATCATCAAAAGCATGGAGAACATCCTGCTACCCCTGATAAGTAAGAAGACCTGAGCCCAAACTTAAGCTTGTTGCAATAAATCAATTAATCACATCATAAATTAAAATTAGCCCAATAATTTGTTTGTTTTTTCTTGTATCTTTTATTTCTTTCTATCAAAAGTTTCAGTCTGGTCCATTGGTCTCAACTTGACCATTTTTTAAGGGCCATTTTTGAATGTCAAAGTGAATATTCTTTCAAGGCATTATGTCTTAAAATCATACTGCTGTGTTTTGTAGTACCATGCATGCTGGAGCATGAGGCAGAGCAGGGAGTTTTAGGCTCCAAACCAACAGGCCTGAGGAAGAGGAGCCCCAGCTGCCCTGATGAAGCTTTGACAGTGGAGGTCCTCCTGCAGCGTCTCAGCTTCTTCCACACCACCATGAGTCAACACGGGATGGACTCTGACATCATCAAGCAGGTGGTCAAACAGCAGTTTTACATCATCAGCGCCGTGACACTTAACAACCTGCTGCTGAGGAAAGACATGTGCTCGTGGGGAAAAGGCCTACAGATCAGGTAATCACAGCAACACTTTCTTATTTTCTAAAACTAACCGTGAAGGAGGCAACAGAAGAGAGATTTATGCATTATTTGGATTAACAATACCCATAAAAATTAGAGCTCTGTCAAATTCTGCTGCTAATGATGTATATTGACCAGTTGGATAGACTTTTAACTTCCTGAGATGCTAAAGCCAGCAAAGCATGGTGGGCAATATAGACTAGACTGCAATATTTTAATAATGTTTATGATTTAAAAAGAAAACTATTTAATACTTTATAAAGTCCCTTTATGGCTGCGAGTGCACAGTATTTTTTCAAGACGGCATTACTTTAAAAAACAAAGCGTGATTTTAAACTACACACATTTACTTTTTTTATTTATTTATTTATTTATTGATATGTATTGATATTCTCATGGAGAAAATAGTACAAATAAAATTTCCAATAATAACGTCCAATAATTTAACATCATTAATTGTTTTTTAGTCAGTTATGAGACACCTTGGTGAAACCTTAAACTGCTGCTGCGCTAGTTACTCGCCAGCTTGTTGCTAGGTAACCAAAGCGTGAGTGAGTTGCTAGGTAACCAAAGAGCGAGTGAGTGGAGCCGCTTTGGAAACCTAAATTTTAAATCTAATATCCACTTTCAGTTAGAAGTAGCAGAGTGAGGAGGATAAATTTTACACCTTTTTGTTTTGAATTTGTAGAAAACCTGCAATTCTGAATAATTTTCCTCCTCGCGTTGCTTTTGTTTATGAAAACTCCTTTTACATGAACTCCTTGTAGTGCTTTTCACTTTTAATCTGAAGTGTGTCTTGTCCTCCTCTCTGGGTGAAGGTACAACGTTTGGCAGCTGGATGAGTGGCTGTCAGAGAGGGAGCTGAGCGGCTGTGGAGCAAAGGAAACTCTGGAGCCTCTCATTCAGGCTGCACAGCTTTTACAAATCAAGAAAAACACTGAAGCTGATGCCAAAGCAATCTGTAGCATGTGCTCCTCCCTCACCACAGCACAGGTTCGGCATCAGAAAACATCCCAGCTTTTTAAATATTTACACAAATAAATACAACTCAATTCACTCTTATCTTTTTTTTTTTTTAACAGATTGTTAAAATCCTGACCTTGTACACTCCAGTAATTGAGTTTGAAGAAAGAGTTTCAAACACATTCATCACCACCATTAAAGTAAGGTCTTAATACGGGGGTGTCCAAAATGTGGCCCGAGGGCCATTTGTGACCTTTGAAATGATTTTAATCAGCCCTAACTCGTAACTGATGACCCCAAAAATGTGTAAATTGTTTGTTTTTCTTTTAATGTGAAGCCTTTTCAAAGCTTCAAGTACCTGTAGATTTTATATTTATGAATTTTTTGGTTTGTGAGTAGTTTAAATTTGCCAATTTTAGGGGGGGCAAAAAGTTTGGGCACCACTGTTTTAATCTCTAGTCTTTTATTATGAAGTCTTCATGTAATAATTCATTAACTCTTTTCTCTTCTTCCTTTTTAGAACCTTTTGAAAGACAGAGCTGAGTCGTCCAACTTGATGATGGACGCCAAGAAAATATTCTCTGTCACATTCCCATTCACGCCTTCCTCTGTGGCTTTGGAGACCATCCAGATCCCCGCAAGCCTCAACCTGGGCTTCCTTATCCGTGTCTAGAGCTGACCTCTGACCTCTGATCGCACCTTGTTTTTCTAATCCTGTTTACAAGTAAATAAAATAAACCAAAGACTGTTTTCCATCAAAGTTTGCATCTTAAAAAAAGATGTTATTTATAGATGTGTGAATATTGTCTTTTTTCCCCCCAAGAATACAAACCGACTGAATAGGAAATATGCAAAAATGTTCCTTAAAGGGGAAACTTTATAAAGAAAATTAAGAATTTTAGCAAAGAAATGTGACATTTCACCTGTTGGCATTAGTAAAAATACAGCGCTGGCCGTTGGCTAACTTACAGTCATCATGGATGTGAAGGGTGAACAAATTTTAAACCTTTTTCCAGAGTGGAATAAGAATACAGCATACAAAAAAAAAATTGAGTTAATTCTATTCATTTAATTGAATTAAGTTTGGCAAACTTGATTTATTTACTTTTCTGTAACATTTGCGTGGATAAATTTTATTTGATTAAGCATCAAATTAACTCGGTTTTAAAAAAAAAAAAGTTGGATCAGCTGTTGTGTTTTTTCAGTGTACATCGTAGTGACTTTGAAAAATTAGACTTTGGTGCACAAGTTTGAATTCATTGTGGATTTATCTAAAAACAGTCTGGCTTAGTTAGGTGTTATTGTAATTAATTATAACGCCTAACTAATGGAGTTAAATGTCTTGAAAGTTTTAGAGTTACCACCTTAGTTCAAAACTGATCGTTGTCCTGCTGGAACATGCAATGGTCAGTTTTCCACCATCTGGTTGTTCACAGTCAGCATTACTGGCCCTCAGCATGATGCTGTCACCACCATGCCTGATTGTTAGGTTTAAAGTTCTCACTGTGGCTCCTCCAAACAAACTTCTTATCATTGTTGCCAAATAACGCAATCTTAGTCGTGTCTGAAAAGACACATTTTTGTTTTTGTGTCATTTTTCCTACTTTTTGGGGGGTTGAGAACATCTCAGCTCATGGGAAAGTGAAACTTTCTTCATCGGGGCATTCTGGTTCTTGAGTTGTTTAATAATTATTAAACATAATTCGTAGTTCAAACTGGATAATTATGCCAAACGCTCATTAAGTCTGTTTGGAAATGCCATCCTAAAGCCCCAATCTCAACCTTTTTGAAAGTTTCTGGATTCTGCATAAAAGCATAGTTCCAGGGAAAAAATAAAAATTAAGTCAACGCTACCGATTCTGACAGGAAGAGAGACCAAACGTTCAGCCAAATTTAAAAAAGAAGGTTGTTGATGGCTACAGAAAGAGTTTCTCTTCAGCTGACTGAAAGACTCCTAACATGTGGGAATGTTTGTATGAATATGAGCTTATATAAATAATTTTACTCTGTGTGGGTTGGGCAAACGCCACATTAAAGTTAAATAAACACACAGTTCTTGCTTTTAAGTCAATGAATTTAAATGCTGTATAATTATTCGCCCTGGAAAAGAAAACATTATAATCCACCATTAAAAGCCCAGAATGAATGATGAACGAATGTAAACTTCACGTTTGATTTGTGGAATAAGAAATGTATTGAACTGTTTCATGGCTAAAAAAATTTATTATTATAGCCAAAATTATAAAATGTTATTTCTAAAAAATATTTAAAAGCCTTTGGACTTCAGCAGCAGTTTTATAATGGTTTAGATGTCAGGCCAAGCTGGAGAGAAATATTAATTTTATTTTATCTGAAATGTTTTAAAGCATTAATTTGAATGCTAAAATTTCTTTCTCTTATGCTCAACTATAACCTACTATAGCATCCTGTTGTATATCTGAATTTAAAGACAAATTTGTCAATTTTTCCCCAACTATTTAAACTACTTGCAATTTTCAAAACACTAAGATTTTCTCATTGAAAAACATAAACCAAAAATCATATTTTTACAGTGACATCGTATGCTAAATACGTCACATTTTGCATACAATGTATAAAATTTGCATAAATTTTAAAGTTACGTTTAATTATCTCCATGCTGATATATGATTAACCAACCAACGTCTTCCTTCTGCCGTTTCCATGTGAACTAACTTATCCACGGTTGTTTTGAGACTTTGACAGCTTTTATATTTATGATTAAACCCGTTCAGGTGTAAAACTACGTCCTAAGTGTTCGTGAATGTACCGAGGTCATAGAGGTTTGCATCCGGTTTCTTTAGTGGCGAGGATCCTTGATAAAACGAGCACACCCTCAGACGGTGGGACAAGCCTGTCACGAGACCGAGGGGGCGGAGACAGCCAAAGTCCCGAGCAGGTGAATTACAAGCCGGGCAGGAAAAGACGACACTTTCCTGGAAGTTTCAAAATAAAGCTCAGGATTCAGTAGTCAACTTCCTTGATTACTGATCAAGCAAAGGAAGAATTTGATATTTAGACTTTAAGGAAGCATCACTAGAGGTGGGTAAATTGTATTAGAGTAAAATTACTTCAAAATATTTTAACTCAAAAGTAAAAAGTTACTCAAAAAATTACTTGAGTTAAGAAAGGACTAAACAAGGTATTTAATATTTTACAATCTCATCAAAGAGACAAAAAATATTAAGTTACATTCAAATTTGGGAATTTCAAACACTAAAATGAAAAAATAATACAAATGAATAACAATATAAAATGACAAATTTTATACAAAGCATAAAACATGAATTCAATAGTTAAAGTATATTTTATACATTTATATTATTTGAGTGTCTTTTTGGCCCAAACAGGTTTGCTCTTCTGTTGGTAAACTTACTTACACTGCTAGGTAGAATGTCCAGAAATTTTAATTTATTATTACTGGTGACTTTAAGGAGATGATAATAATATAAGACAAGTAAAATCAAAGTTATGGTGTAGTGAAAATACTCCTAAAGATACTTTTTCCCTCAAGAAAATGTAATTGAGTAAATGTAACTTCATTGTTTTTTTATATTAAAAATAAATTAAAATGACAGATGTAATATATCCAAATACATACAAGAAGATATTACAGTAGTTATTTTGGTGGTAAACATACTTTACAGAGAAAATTTAAACAAACATGCCAAAATACTGCTGTTTTGTACATGATATTTATGCATAATGATAATAGTAAAAAAAAAAAAATCCAACCAGTGATTAACTTTTTATAACAAGCGTCACCTCCAATTTCTTTGGGTACTTCCACACTGTTATACTTCAAATACTCTTTGTTTTTGCAGTTGTATTTTTCGTAGTAAAAATAAAGAAAAAAAAATTGTGACTGACATATCCACACCCCCAATCTATGAATGGATGGATTTGGTCGTGATGTTTTTATTTTAAAGTATCTTAGTACCTTTAGTGGGGCTCTTATTGTGAAACCCCTTCCCGGAAGCGCGATCCTACTTTGTGAAACTTGTTCGGTGATTGTTTTATGGTTGTTGGAAACAAGCGTAGTCTCTCAGGGACTTTATGGCAACTTGGAGAGAAAGTACAGGGAAGCAGCAGGTGCTAAAAAACACAAAGTGAAGCTCAAACATGGCTTTATCTGAACTGTACACAAAGGTAAGAGTCAGCTCTTTATTATTTTTATACTATTAACATATGTTTGATGTATTTGACGTTTTCACAGACATATGGAAACTTTCCCAGTGTTGAGGGAGTGTAACGCATCGTGGATTTTTATTTTATTTATTTTATTTTATTTATTTATTTTAGAAAATATAAACATGTATGTACAATTAGAGTGACGTTTATGCTTACTTTATGTAAAAATCTTAATTATTTTTCACTCTTTAACCCATTTCTTCCAGTATAACAGAGTGTGGATACCAGATGAAGAACAAGTGTGGAAATCGGCTGAAATCACTAAAGACTTCCACTCGGGCGATAATGTTCTTGAATTACTCCTCGAAGACGGAACTGTGAGCAAATAAACTGTCTACATGCAACTCCGATGAATCCCTAGATGTGAAAATGAGCAGCTGACCTTTGACTTATCGTTCTGTAGGTTCACCTCCACCCGGTTGACCCCTCCAAGCCCAAACTGCCCCCTCTCAGAAACCCAGACATCTTGGTAGGGGAGAACGACCTCACGGCTCTCAGCTACCTGCATGAACCTGCGGTCCTGCACAACCTCAAAGTCCGATTTGTCGAGTCCAGAATCATCTATACCTACTGTGGTAAGGATATTTATTTTTATTCCTTACTTCAGTGTCTTGCAGAATTATTGATGCTCAGTTTTCAGCCCTGCAAAAACACAAAATTTTACAAAGTGCTTATAGTTTCTAGTGCAAAACTAACTTTTTTTTTTTTTGGCAAGATACCGGAGTTTGTTTTAAGTAAATATTTTATTATTATTGATGAAAAACTACCAGGTAATTTCACTTATAACAAATATTTTTCACGTTATAGTGAAATAATCTACCAACGGAACTAGCACTTTTTCATCAATGTTAAATAATTATTTTCTTAAAACAAGCTCCTATATCTTACTAAAAAGTTACTTGTAAGTTAGTTTAGTCTTATTTCAAGTGTAATAATTTATTTGCACTAGAAACTAAACCAAAAATAATTGGTACGATTTTGTATTTTTGCAATAAGCAATTGATCAATTAATAGCAAGATAAATGAAGATGAGCCCAATAATTTCTATTTACAGAGGCAACATAATCTATTTTATTTATTGGCTTCTGTTCTGTTTTATTATTGGTTATGTGTTTTTTTATATATTTAAAACATCTTTAAGTTTTAGAATTAAATGTTCTTTACAAAATTTTTATTATTAATATTCCCACCTTCTTAAAGGTAATAGCCCAAGGCATTTTTAGCTAAAAGTACCTTTGGCACAAAAAAAAAAAATCACCACATCTTTATTTCTAAAAGATGTTTTAGGTGAAAAAAAAGTCACTACTCTGACACCCTATGAATTTAATCCTGTCGTCTTCAGAAGTCACCAAATTAGATGTGTATTTAATTAAATGTCCAATAAATGCAGATTTGTTTGAAAGCCTCAGAAGTTTGTTAGAGAATATCTAACAAACAGTATCTAACATGATGCTGTTGAAGGAACAAACTGGGAACGGAGACAATCAGAGATAAAGCTGTAGAAAAGTCTAAAGCAGTTTAAAAATAAAGTCAAATAGTGACATTGGATGAGCTGCAGAG